TTTTTATTATAAAAAGAAAAGGTTTTCCACATATGCAAAAAGTGCCCTTTTTTCCCCCTGGAGCACTTGCCCCCCAAAATGTCTGTGCACGCCACTGCCATTTATCATTCTGTGTGATGCTGTGCAAAATCTAATACATAATTATCCATGTTTGCTACATTATCTGGTAGTTATCTGTTAAATGCTTTGACCAAATGGTCAATTTTCAGGGTCAAAGGTGTCAAAGATTATGATCGAAGTCAGTCATTGTTTTTCACTAATCTGCACCATGATTATAGTCACAGAAGGTCTCTCTCCCTTTCTCTCTCTCTCTCGTAATACTGTTGTCTTTGTTTGTGAGGTCCTTTCCACACACCCTAACCCAAACTTAATTTGCATGCAAGTAACAGGAGGTTTTCTGTATATTATGTGCGTGGCCGATGTTGAAATATTAGGGGCAATATTTAGATTTGTTCTTTCAGAGCTATGCGCTGCTAGTAACACCGCCAACATAATAATGGTTCCTGTACAAACATATGTACATTACATAAACACACAGTAAGACAAATAGATTCTTAGCTTCTTTTTCTTTCAACTCAAGTGATTCATGAACCGTGGAATGGCGTGACAGGAATGCGTTGATCACTCAGTACGCCACTGCCTGTCTCTCCACCCGAGAGGGAGTGAGGGAGGGAAAAAGGGCTGTTGAATGAATTAAAAAGACAAAAGGATGAATGAATGAGAGAATGAATGACTAGTGCAGTGAGGCTAAAGATAAATGCAAGGCTTTTTTTTTTTTTGGTGAAAGTTAGTGCAGCATGCTGTGTTGCAGCTAGACCAAAAAAAAAAGTAAGAACACAAAAGCACCCACATTCAAATTTTTTTAAGCTGAAATGTATTGGCCAATAAATGATTTGAGCTTCGCCTGCAGGTATTAGGGTTTACTTTGGGGTTTAGTGTGCAGAGGGAGATTGTAGCAAGTCTGCCAAAGCCTTGCTACAATCTCAAAATGATGGTATAAAAACAAACGGAGATTAAAATATGTATGAGGCAAAGTCTGGTTTCTTTTGCAGTTACAGAGATTCTCTGTTTCCTGCTAAGCTGCTGAATGTGACAAGCCAATGAATCAGTTATTTAAACTCCTGACTAATGCTAAAAAAATAAAAATCAATCCTGTAGTTAAAAATTTGGACTTTGGAGCAATAAGATTTACCCTTGCTGAAAACACTCTTGCAACCTTGTTTTAAACTGTGCTAACTAATGTTTCTAATGACCCAAGTTTTAATACATATATCTGATTTTATTTTTATTATTATGTATTTATTTAGATATTTGGATATTTGTTATGTGCAACACATGAAAAGCCAGATCCACTAAATGGGGGAAAAATATGCTCCGTTCTAAAAACAATCAGTTTATTTCAATATCATGTCTTATTTCAAAAAATAAGACATGCTTTTTTTCTCAGGAATAAATATCAGCACAGTTAGCAATAAACTAAACCTTCCTCTTTTATAGGACTATATCCAGATGCATCCAGCTGGCAGCCAGCTGAGTTGACGCCCTTCAGGTTGTGTTCATTTAGACTGACAACATGTTGGCAATCTGTCTGCATTTATAAATTATATAGCAATTATTTGTAAACCTTCAACAATCTCTCTGAGATTTATTTCAGTCAGTTCAAGTCAGGCTGTGACTATTTGACTGAATGACTGTTATTTAAATGTATTTAATAAAATATCAACATTTAGTATCCCTGTACAGATATTGCTGTATAGTTGTGTTTTTTCATTTTCTCCTCCACCCGTAGACTGTTCTGATGTAGAGGTCTTTCACTGTTGCAAAAACTCACGTTACAAGTGCATGCATTTCGCTCACAAATGATAAAAAGTAAGGCAGAGGGGGCATCTGAAGTTAAATGGTAAATGGCCTGTATAGCACTTTACTTAGTCCCTATGGACCCCAAAGCGCTTTACACTACATTCAGTCATCCACCCATTCACACACACATTCACACACTGGTGATGGCAAGCTGCATTGTAGCCACAGCTGCCCTGGGGCGCACTGGCAGAGGCTGGATACTGGCGCCATCGGGCCCTCTGACCACCACCAGTAGGCAATGGGTGAAGTGTCTTGCCCAAGGACCCAACGACCAAGGCTGTCGGAGCCGGGGCTCGAACCGGCAACCTTCTGATTACAAGACGAACTGCCAACTCTTGAGCCTTGATCGCTCCTAAAGACATCTCGCGGGAAAGAAACCCTGCTCATAGATTCCACACATTATGGCATATGATTAATCTTTATGCAGTCCAATTCTCAAATTTATAACAGTGGTAAAAGCGATAGTCCATCCATCCACTTTCTTTCTCTTATCTGGGCCCAGACCTCCCTCTCTACGGCCACTTCCTCCAGCTTGTCCAGGATAACACCTAGGTGTTCCCAGAGGCCTGCTGGGAGATATAATTTCTCCAACATGTACTGGGTCTGCCCTGTGGCTTCCTCTTGGTGGGACCCCAAGATACTTAAACTCTACTGTATGTATTATTGTAGGGTAAACCTTACAATATAAAGCGCCTTGAGGCGACTGTTGTTGTGATTTGGCGCTATATAAAGAAAATTGAATTGGAAAAACTCCTTCACTTGGGGCAGTAACTTGTCCCTGACCTGGAGTAGGCACTCCACCCTTTTCCAGCTGAGGACCATGGCCTCCGACTTGAAGATGCTGATTCTCATTCCTGCCAACCAAGATAGCCCTACAACATCCAGAGCTTTCAAGAACTCTGGGTAAACTTCATCCCCTGGAGTGGATGCCTCCAAGGAGTTGTTTAACTGGCTCAGTGCCCACCATCTGGTTCAAAGGTTACCACCAAGACAGACACCAACCACCTTGTGGCTGCAGCTCAGTGGAGAAACTTCAGCAATTAAGGTATTAAACATGGTCTATTCGGACTCAATGTCCCCATTCTCCCTCGGAATGCTGTCAATGGTGGTAAGAGTTGAAGGTAACCCTCACTATACATTTAGGCACCTGTCTTCACCCAAGTGTCCAGAACATACGGCCTTAGATCTGATGATACGATTACAAAATCTGTCATCGACCTGTGGCCTTGGGTGTCCTTATTTCAAAATCGTGTTCGTTGTGGACAAACTTTGGTTTGCACAGAAGTCCAGAAACAGAACCCTGCTCGGGTTCGAGCTGGGGATCAGTCCACCAGGGTTTGCACCCCTGGCCCCCGCCCAGCACACACTGCACCAGACTCCTACAGCACCTCCTGCGGGTGGCGGGCCTACTGCAGGGTGGGCCCATGTCCCTCATTTGGGATGTGCCTGCCTGGTGTGTCTTAGACTAAGGCCCATCCCCAGGCACTCGCCCTTGGGCACCTTCCCCACCTGTCCCGAGGGCAGGGCCCCAGTAACCCTATTCCGGGCTAGGGTGAGATATTCTCTAGATCTTTCACTCATTGGGGTTTTTGAATCACTCTTTGTCTGGTCCCTCACCCAGGAGCAATTTGCCATGGGAGAGCCTACCACGGGGAAAAAGCCCCCCAACAACATAGCCTCTGGGATCCCTGGGAATATAATATTTCTCGGTAGCTGGTCACCTTTCCTACAGTGTAAACTATCATGCACTTAACTGTTTGTATAAAAATATTGATAGGGGTTAAAAAGCATTTTCATTGAAGTAAAATTGATTGAAAAGTGGGAAAAACTCCCATAATTTCAGTGTATAAGTCGATTTGTGCACTTGACTTTTACTGTAGTGGCACTTCATCGTCAACAGTTGCTTTCTTGGCTAAGGAAAATCTCTGCAGTTCAAATGCCCTCATATTACTCCTGTAGTCACTGCACCCAGGGCTGTGTGTGTGTGTGTGTGTGTGTGTGTGTGTGTGTGCGCGTGTGTGTTATGGGGTGGAACTGGCAAGCAGCCCTGCAGCACAAGGCACCTGTTGGGTCCACAGGGTTTATGTCTGAGGCTCGCTCCGACACATCCCTTCAGAACCATGGCTCACAGCCCAAAACATTCTCTTAACCACCAATGACGCATATGCAGCCACTGCCAACACTTAATAGAAGCCTTTCATATTTTTTTACCTTTGTCTGTCTTTCATTTTCACCTGCCTTTTTAATATGGGTATTTTTTTTCTGCCATTGCTATTTAAGTGTTAGCTTAGGGAGTCAGTGTGCGTGTGCAGCCATTGAAAGGGCACCATAAAACTTCTAACACAGGCATTGCGTGCCTCACAGTGCTAAACAAGTCTCCTTGTGTTTGTGAAAAAGCCTTCAGGTAACTAAAGTTAGACTTTAGGAATTCCTTAAGAGCTAGTATTTTTAAACAATTAACAGACCAACTTATATAAACAAACCTGGTGCCTTTTTTTTGTGTGCATAAACAGGCAGTGAATAGGGCTTCTTTATAATCAGCATGTGGCACAGAGTGGCTTGTAAAAATTCTCATGATGACAGGATTTTGATTGAGCTGAAAAGCTCCTCAGCTGGGGTGAGTTCACCTCACATGTAGGGCGGTTTATTAATTCTTCTTGAGTTTAGCGTATGCACTTTGCTGATAGCAGGATGGAGACGGTGTGGTCTGCATGTACGCGTTCAGCACAGCTTTCTAATCCACATCAGTAACGTTTAATTGCACATGCTGACAGCAAAATGAAGCTGCACCTCATTCTTTTGCCATTTGTTTGTACTTACAGGTACATGACCGCGCTGACAGACTCAGAGGAGGATGAGCTAAGTGATGCAGAAGAGAGGGATCAAGAGCATCCTGTGGACAAGTTGTCTCTCCTCATTGAGCAGATTGACCGTTTGCATCAGGGCTGTGAGTCTGACAAACGGGAAAGTCTTAATATCCTTTTGGAACAAAGAGAAGAGGTGCATATACATTTCATTAATTCGTGTTTGTCTCCATAATAAATACAAAACAGTGTGATGGAGTTGTGTACTTTCATGTACTTCTCTAGTTTGGACAAAATTCGACATTTCTTTGGCGGCTAACCCGAGCTTACTGTGACGTCCATGACATCAGCTTGACTCTGGAGGAGAAGAAGACCTACGCAGAGACTGGTAATTTACTAAAACTTGTTTCATGCCTCGTTTGACTAGCATTCTACGCTGGATATGAGATGTTATCTTATAATAAATCCGACTGTTACACTGGCCAACCCTCAAAAGTCAGTGTCTCATCTGGAATACCCAAATCCAAATGTGGTTTTAAGCAATGTCAGGGAATTGGCAGGAGTGCTTGGCAAGCTTGGACCAAACATAGCCCTGGATTGGTATTTATTTGTCATACTAGCTTGGATGCAACACGTTCATGTATCTTCAGTATAATAGCATATTGCTTAAGACACAACACTTCTAGAAAAATTCAGTTCTTTAAACAGCACTGAGTCACAACTTCTGCCATGACCAGTGCAAAGATCCTTGTATAGTGTTATATTCTAGTCATTTACTCTAATTTCTGTTCAAGGTAAACCCCCAAACATTGGTGTCTAGTACCTCATCTTTTTAATTTCAACAAGTCTAGGTTCTAATTCTAACAAACTCAATGGCTGCTTTTAGGTACATCTGTACAGATGCCCATTAACCTGGATATCTAATCAGGTAATCAGTAACTTAGTGCATTTAGTAATGTAGACATGATCAAGACAACCTGCTGAAGTTTAAACTCAGCATCAGAATGAGTACTGAAGGTGATTTTGAATGTGGTGTAGTCGTTGTAGCACAGGCTGGTCGGAGTATTTCAGAAACTGCTGATCTACTGGGATTGTTCCACACAGCCATCTTTAGGTCTGAAAACAGAGAATGGTCAGGCTACAGTTCACAGAGGCTTACCAGAACTACACAGTAGAAGATTGACAAAATGATTGGCTGTGTCAGAATTTGGTGTCAGCAGCATTAAAATCTTGGATCCATCCTGCCTTGTATCAAAGGTTCAGGCAGTTGGCGGTGGTGTGATGCAACAACCTATCTGAGTATTGTTGTTGGCCGTGTCCATCCCGTCATGACCAAAGTGCATCTTCTGATGGCTGCTTTCAGCAGGATAACGTGTCATCTCAGTGATGTTAGTGGTTTCTCTAATGTGGCAGAGTTCACTGACTTCAAAATACCCTCCACTGTAACCAGAGCTCAGTCCATTAGAGTGGCTGTGGGATTTCCTGGATTCCTGTGAGGAATGTTTCTAGCATCTTGTTGAATCTGTGCCACAAAGCAGCAATACTAGCAAGGTGTAACCCATGAGGTGGCAGGTGAGTGTAGGCTCAGTGGAGCTAATGGTACTGTACACTTAAATGAAACAAAGACAGTTTTTCAATTGACGATTGGACTGTTCCAGATGAAAACTGACATTTGTGTATTTTTATCTATCCATCCATCCATCCATCCATTCGCGTCCGCTTATCCTGTTCAGGGTCGCGGGGGGCGCTGGAGCCTATCCCAGCTGTCATAGGGC